GAACTTGTATTACCATCAACTAGGCATTCCTGCCACGCTCAATGGAAAACAGAAAAGAAAACGAAGATATTATAGATGAGGATAAACAAAAAGAATATCTAAAAGGTCTTTTGGAGAGAACAAAAACAGCAGCCTTACCTTGTTAGCTAAGTCAAGTTCAAATGATAGTACATCCTCATCCAATGGAACCATGTATAATGGGTACTCCCCGATTGTCACCAAGTTACGAACCTTTTCCTCCTCAAGGACCTGCACAACCAAGTAAACACCTTACAACCCTGGACATGATCAATACATCAGAATTCAAATGTGCACATGAACTACCACTAAAACATACCTTCTCACAAACAACCTCACGACGAGGCACAAAATAAACGTAGTACTCCCTCTGGAGTCCTTGTGACGTGTCATGATGAATATTGGAACATATGAATCTCATCAGACTGAACTCTGAACGAACAAGGTAAACCACTTTAGTACAATCAGTCTGAACTGGTTCCGCTGAAAGATGCCGCAATTCAGCACCATTTTCCTGTTTATTACCAATTAACACAACAGAATTTCTAAAATCAGCAATTAAGTTACACAATTCAAATTCATCAAGCTAATAAAACACACTAAAGCATGACATACTAGAGAAAATTTTTACCCTGAGAATTGTTGTCTGGATGATCAGCGAAATTGATCCACTAAGCTTTGGATCAATCACTAAACACTTCTTTCCTCGAATCTATTAAATTTACAATCAAAATCAACATTAAAATTCAATAAAACATCAAATTTCTCAAAATTCAAGAAACCTAGCTGGAATATGAACACCGCTAATCTACATTGTACAAAGAATTCCGTTAAAATAAAGCAACGGATCTGCAAGAAACTTGAGAATTTTCATTTTCTCGGGAAACAGACAACGAACTTACGTTCTTGAGGATGTCAACGAGATCTTTCTGAGATTGTTCCCTGAAAAGTTAAAAGTTAGTGGATTAGTGATCGTGATTAAGAGTAGTTAAGTAGATGGTGATTATTGCGGACCTGAAGGATTTAAGATTGAGAGGAGAGTTGTCTAAGTTAGGGATTTGTGCCATTTTTGCTATGAATTCGAAGTGCGATAAAGTGAAATCGTTCTCTTCGGCTTCTGTTCTGTGTCTGCAACAGGGATGGAGACGGAGGATATTTTGGGCTTCGCATTTTTATTTTTTGAACTGGCTTGAAAGAGAGCTTGGACATTGTTTCTGGGCTTGGGCTATTATATAGGCCTGAATTAGGGAAGTATTTGTTGTGCCTCGTAATGTGCCTGAATTTAGTATCCAGTTAAACTGGGCTTGAATATTAGATGCATCGAATATCCCAAGCTGGTTTATTTTGTGAAGATATTTTTAAATTCTTTTATTATTATTTTTTAAAATATTTATTTTTTATTTTTTATAGAATATTTGATCGAAAAAATATTTAATAAAAAATATCATACAATTATTTTTTAAATTTTAATTATTTACTAAAAAATATTTTAAAATTATGAAATTCTATAATGAATAATAATTTATTTAGAATATTATTAAATTATTTCAACTGTAATTATTAATTTCTCCTCAACCGTTACTTTTAGTTTTATCATTATCATCGTGGCGAGCATTTCATCACTATCTCTTCATCCATTATCATCATCTAATATTTTATAAAATGATTTTTTATGTATGTAAACAAAGAGACCCTGGTATATTTTAATAATGCGAGATTATATAGTTTGTTAAGAAAACATGTTACATTTCTTTTTCGTTACAGTTGATAAAAAGCTCATTTGATGAAGTTTTTTAAAGTTGAATTGTATTTTTTGTATAGAAAACCAAAAACCTATTTTTCTATGATGTCATGATTAAATTATTTTTGCACGCACTATTCTCCAAAAGGGAAGATTTCCTACTACCAAAATATTTTTTTAATGTGATTTTCCAAGTTATCTTCAAGGGATTTGATGTCCGCAGCCACAGTAATAATTTTGTGTGTTATTGGTTCGTCAATTTGAGGTTAAGGAAAGTTGGTTGAAGAGTTTAAAAAGGTTTTTAAAAGTGTGATTATATTGTTTATTAAAATATTTTTTATTTAGAAATATATTAAAATAATATTTTTTATTTTTTAATAATAATTGTTGGTATCAATATATTTAATGATCTAAAATTATTTTAAAATATTATTTTTTAAATAAAAAATTTAAAATTTAAAAAATATAATTTATACCATATTTCCAAATACTTCTAAAATTTTAAGTTTATCCTATTCAATACCCTAGCCTTGAAAAAAAAACAAAAAATAATAATAATCTTAAAAGAAGAAGAAAAAAAAAGAAGAGGAAAGGAAAAAAAATTAATAAATTTTATTTAGGAGTATGATTGTAATTTTTTTTTTAAAATTATTTTTGATATTAATATATTAAAATAATTAAAAAAATATATTAATTTAAAATAAATAAAAAATAAAAAAATTTAAATTTTATCAGAAGAGCTAAGCACGAAAGTAAAATAGAGGGAAAAGCCCAGGCCATTAGAAAAGGAGACTCAACCCAAATACAAAATATCAACTAACGGCTAAGCTAAATCTCCCGCAGACCCATAATTTAAAATAAATAAATAAAATAAATTTCTTCAGAAAAACCAAGCACGAGAGTAAAATAGAGGGAAAAGCCCAGGCCATTAGAAAGGAGACTCAACCCAAATACAAAATATCAACTTAACGGCTAAGCTAAACCTCCCGCAGACCAATCTCAAGTCTCCTCCCTAAAATGGCAGCATCGCTATCCACTCTCCATCTTCACCACCAACTCACTTTCTTCAGAAAACCCTCACTCTCCCTCCTCAACAAGTCCATCCGTCCCACACGCATCACCGCTTCTCTAGAATTCGACATCACCTTCGCCCCTCCTAAACCCAAACCCAAACTCCCTGCCAACCTCCAAACCGACGCCGCTTCCCTCTCTCTCCCTCCAGGCCAGCTCTTCATTCCCTGGATAGTCCGAGGAGAAGATGGAAACCTCAAGCTCCAATCTAACCCTCCCGCGCGTCTCATCCACGCTATCGCCGATGCCAAAACACAACCAAAGAAAAAGAAAGACAAGGTGAAGAAAGAGAGTGGTGGAAATGTGAAGGCCAAGTTGGAAGCGGAGCCTACGCGGTCTAAGGCGGCGCGTAGGTTCTATAATGAGAATTTTAGAGACCAAGCGCAGCGGTTGAGTAAAGTTCTAGCCGCTGCCGGAGGTAAATCACTGTAGAATACTCTACGTATTCGTTTATTGCATACGTATATACACATGTACATGCGTATATGTAATTTATTAATCTGTTATTAATTCTGTAATTAGTGGCGTCGAGGAGGAGCAGTGAAGCGTTGATTTTTGAAGGCAAAGTGACTGTTAATGGTTCTGTGTGCAATACTCCACAGGTAATAATAATAACAATAAATATATGATTTCTCTATTAATAAAACTAGTATTTCTGTTGGAATTTGGAATTTATGGCTTTGTTAACTTGTATTAATGATGTTTAGACTCGAGTTGATCCCGGGAGGGATGTTATTTATGTCAATGGAAATCGGCTTCCCAAGAAACTGCCCCCGAAAATTTATATTGCTCTCAATAAGCCAAAAGGGTATGTTAGCACTTATGTTTGGGTTGTTTTTAAGTATTCTTGATGTTTATGCAGCATGTGCCGTGGAGACTGATGTGATCCGCGAATTATGGCAGGTACATTTGCTCGTTGGGGGAGAAGGAGTCTAAGTCTGTAATGTGCTTATTGGATGATTATTTTCAGAGTTGGGTAAGGTGTTTATGTTATTTTTTTTTATCTACTTGCTTTTGGAAGTTTGTTATAATTGTTTATGTTTTGTAGGATAAAAGAAATCCAGGATTACCTAAGCCACGGTTATTTACTGTCGGACGACTTGATGTTGCCACAACTGGGTTGATTATCGTGACCAATGATGGTGTGATGATACATTATGATTTGTGATATATTGAATTGGGATTTTCTGAGTTGTTTTTTTTTCCCCCCAAAATTCAATGGATTGATAATAACTACTGCCTTTCTTCTCTAGGAGACTTTGCCCAACAAATTGCACATCCATCGTCAAATTTATCAAAGGAGTAAGTTTTCATGCAATTAGTCCTTTATTCAAACTACAAACTGTTAAGCTTAATTTTCCTGCAGAATAGATTGAATCATGAATGAAATTGCTTTCTAATTTTTGGTGAGAAAGGACTGGATATAACTTGCTGTGAATGGTTAGACACGGGAACATCCTCTGCATTTTAGTAACTGTATGTGTGATTGCAGATATATTGCAACAGTTGATGGTGTAGTAAGCAAACGTCATTTGTTTGCCATCAGCGAAGGAACAGTCATTGAAGGTGTCCATTGCGCCCCAGACTCTGTGGAGTTGTTACCACAACAATCAGATAGACCAAGACCTCGTCTTCGAATTGTGGTATTTTTCCCATGTTTCAGTCAGCAAGAATTATTTTAATATCGTATAGTATTGCATCCATAAAGACACATCATTTATCCATCACAACCTTTCCTATCATGTATCTACTTGTTTTATCATATAATTCAAATCTTGAATTTGAATTTGACCTTCCTCACTGTGTTAAGACTTCAAAGGTACCAAATTCTAACACAGTGAAACAGTTTCATGCTTTTCTATAAAGTGCTTAAATGATATTACTCTTGGATTTCAATGAGATGGGGTTGATAAAAAATTGTGTTCTTTTCTTTTATATTCACCAAGAAGAAGGAAAAACAAGTGGGGCAAGAGAGCTGTTTACACCAGTGTGATGGATGGGATTCTTACAATTGCTATGTAACCTCAAATATTGTTGCTCAATGATCATTTTCCTTTTCAATTTGTATAACGTTTGCGTTTCTTTCTGGTTTTGAGGTTTTGCTTTGTTCAATGTCTCATCTCAGCTGATTAGCACGCTTAAATGCTAAAGACCTTTTACTGTTGTTGCAGGTTCATGAAGGGAGGAACCATGAGGTCCGAGAACTAGTAAAAAATGCCGGGCTTGAGGTTGGTTTTAGTTTTTTATGAGACCCTCGTTACAGTGGAAAAAAAGAGAAAGGAAACTAGCAGTATCATCAGCATTGTTATTTGTATCCTCGATCAATTATATCCTTACTAAGAGGTTGTATAGGGGAAGCACAGTGATATATTGATTGCTTCTTAATCTTAAGCGTGGCTTGAGATGATAAACATTTTTGTCCTTTCACTTGCATGCTTTTATCTTAAAAATTTAACACAGACAATGGCCATTACCGGTTTTAGCGGCACTCTTCCTATGTTAACTACTAATAGCAACTCCATTCTTGTCTTGTTTATGATCTGATTATTGCTCAATGTGTTTACATCAGATATTTCTCCATTTTTTTTTTCAGATGCATTCATTGAAACGTGTCCGCATTGGTGGTTTCAGACTCCCATCAGACCTCGGGTGATTGTCTCTGACATTTTTCTGTTTTTGAGAACATTCTTTAAGCTCCTCTCTCTCATCCTTTTCACTTGAATCAAAATTTTCATTTTGCAAAAGTGGAAGAAAGAATAACAAAGCTTATCTCCCTTGCTAGTTGTGGTAACTTTAGCAGCCTCGATGCTGATATAGTGAACGTTGGAAAGAAAGAAGTTAAAACATTTGATACATCATGAGATACATGTTTTGGGACAAATAGTGGGTGCCAGGCCCAAATTTACTCTCGTCCCTTTAGGGAAAGGGCTCACTGTTGTTGCTTGTAGTAGTTGATGGAGCGTGCATTTTCTAAAAGAGGCTGCCTTTCGCTGGCGATGCTATATTTTTTAGAATCCAACTCTTTTGTGATCAGTTGATGTGAAAGCTCTAAGTTTTATTTTATTTTATTCTCAGGCTTGGGAAGCATGTTGAGCTAAAACAGACTGATCTGAAGACTCTGGGATGGAAATGTTAAGAGCAGTCGCTGCAAAATAACTGGAGTTTTACATTCTCTACCTGGAAGCAACTTTCAAAATCAGATGGAACACAGCTTCAAGGTTTTAACTTACGAGAGGTGCCTATGCTTTTTGCACACTATTGCATTGTTGGATGGCATACCTATTTATGAATCGGACTGGCCTTTAAATTGAAGGGATTGATCTATACCACTGCAGGACAAGAAGGCAAACGATGTCGGGGAAGCTTGCATTGCGAGTATCAAATGTAAATCCATCTATTGAATCTGGAAATATCTTGGTTGCAAGGAGGATCTGTATGCATACAATGGAAATGTAAATGCGAGTGAAGAGCCTACATGTGGTTTTTCATGAAATCAAAAAATATTAACTTGTCATAGAGATCAAAGGTATGGAGATTTCATGACCTCTTTTGATTGCTTGAACTAACATTGTTACCACCATATGCGTTTCTTAGTAGATGATAAATTTTAAAAAATAAAAAAATATTATTTTAATATATTTTAAATTAAAAAATACTTTGAAAAGCATTGAAAGTAGTGTAAAAGTCTTACAGCAATGCTAAAAAAACTAAAAAAGTTCGGATTTTCATGCTCGCGTTTCTATATTTGTTGAACCCACAAATGATTTACGAATTTGGAAAGGTTGCTTCCCACTTCTGTATCCAGCTTGCTCCTGGAATGAAACTTTCTTCTCATGCCGGCCATAATGGACAAAACAAAACAGACAAGAAAACAACAATAGAAACTGCCGATTCATCTAGTTTGACGCTGCTATTTGATCTTTCTGCCAGCTATCTTTTAAGATAGCTGGCTTTAACATTTGGATTATGTAGTAGTAGTTAAACTGGTCAGTGACAACGATTTAATCAGCATAGAAAAGCAAACTGAACCCCGCCAGAATAATTATATGATGACAATGCGAGATAAATGCACTGCAATCAGGATAAGGAAAACACATTAAATAAAACAATGCGTAATTACCTACAAATAAGTTCGTATGAGTTACTTTGATATAGCTGTCTTTGTTAAAGTTCTTGACGTTCTTTATAATAAGTTGAGGGTAAGTTTTTATTTATCAAAATGAAAGGTGAAAGGAGATATGTTCTTTCTATTTTTAATATCTTTGTTTTTTATATTTCGAAGAAATAACCAAATATTACTGATATAAACTCTCAAATATTAAAAAAATATAACCTCTAGTAACATGATATATCTGGAAATATGGTCTTCATTTTATAAGAGGAATTTATTACTACTAAGAAAAGTATTCAACATTTGTAAATTTTAGTAACAGCGATAATTCTCTTGAAGTGATCAACTTGAATAAACGATGGTGTACATTCGTAATAGGGGCGGCACTTTCTTGAAAGCTCGGATGCCTAGGAATGTCCAGATGCTCAGAACATGGCAAAGGAGAACAGGCCCGTGGCTGTGGGTTTGTAGGCTTGTAGCTAGCGAAGTACTAGGAAGTAGTAACATTAATTATAAAGAACTGACATTAATTATATGATGATGAGATTTTAATATCATCATGATAATATTGTAATCTCGTAGCAGTTCCACGTAGTTTTGTTTCTGTTGCTATTTTTTAAATAATTATATATATATATATATATATATTAATAATATATTTTATTTTTTAAATTATTTTTAATATTAATACTTTAAAATAATTTAAAAATGTTAAAAATATATTAATTTAAAATAAATAAAAAAATAATTTTTTTTAACTTTTTTAAAAATATTTTTAAAATACAAAAATAAATAAGACTAGAACACCCCAAAGAAGCCATGATTTTGGAGAACCTGGTACATTAAAAAAAAAAAACTCCCATATATCCACATTTTCACAAAAAGATTGCAGATAATTGACGCAGCATTCATTGGGCAACACAAACCAAAACTCCATTAATGAACAGGGCAGTCACAATCACAAAAAATTGAAATTCTATTTAAGTGAGTCTCTCTCTGTGTTTTTTTAGTGTGTTTTACATGGGAAAAAAAATTAATATGTTTTTAGTATTTTTTAATAATTTAAATATATTAATATTACAAAAATATTTTAATATATCCTTTCTAGAAAGAAAAAAAAAAAACAATACACTAGAAAAATATTTTAATATATCCTTTCTAGAAAAAAAAAAAAAACACACTACATCACTAAAAACACACTTCCAATCTCTCCTCTCCACGTCCCAGGGCTAATTTTAGCTCTTTCATTGGGTCCACAAATCCCAAAACGGCAACACCTAACCTAGCCTAACAACCAACGTAGTAACCTACCTTTACTAAACAACACTGACACCAACGTCATGTCGTCCATAACACCACCTCAACGCGCGGGAAAGAACCATATCACACACAAAACACACGCTACGTCCCCCCACTCCCATCTCGCTGGCCTCGAACTTTTATCTCTCTCTAGAAAGGAAAAGAAAAGAAGAAACAAATTTCCAAAAATGAAGAAAACGGTCTCCTTCACTTTTTTTTTTTAATTGAAAAAATGGTTACGCTTTGGCTTTGAAATTCCAACAATGGCTCGCAATTCAACAGTGAGAGTGTCATGCAGAGTAGAGAGGCAACAGCAACAAAGTCAAATTACTCCTCTCCATGGATCTTCTTCATCTTTCTCTTCGAATTCGAGAAATGGAGATTCACGACAAAATTATAGTAACGGCAATCATTCTGTTCGCTCTAAGGCTCCTCCTCCTCCTTCTCGACTCCCTGTTACTCCTACTTATTCCCGCTCTCACTCTCTCGACTTCGACAACGCTCTCTCTCTGCTTTCTTGTTATTTTGGAAGGAAAAAAAATTCAAAAACCGGAGAGGTGTTTTTTTTTTTTTTGAATTCTAAAACATTTAATTATTTTTATTTATTGTGTTAATGACAGACAATGGAAGAGTGAGAGTAGCTGCAAGATTACGGCGAAGGAATGCAGAATAACTCATTTTAGATGGCGATTTCAATGATTGTGTGGAATTATTACCTGAGGTTTTTTTTTTCCCTGTTTGTTTTATGTGCTGAAAAGTCTATGATTAAAAATGTTTTTATTTTATTTATTCACACTTATATTTTTTGTAAATTAAAATTCATGCGTGTGCTTGTTTCTTGATATGCAGTTCAAGAGGTTGAAATTGAAGAAAAAAAATTGGAGTTCTGAATCTTATAGATTCGACAAGGTTTTTACTGAAACTGCTTCTCAAAAGCGCGTTTACGAAGCTGTTGTGAAGCCTGTTGTTGTTGAGGTAACTAATTCATATTTATTAGAATGTAACGTGCGATTGAATATATGATTAATATATTTATGTTTGCTCATAATTGGTTATGAAAGAAATCGAAGTGATTGTATGGTTTGGATGCAATATGCTGATCATAGACTGGAAATTTTTTATATACTTTTTTGCAGAGTGTCTTGAGCGGTTATAACGGGACTGTTATGGCTTAAGGTCAAACAGGTACCGGAAAAACTTATACGGTTGGGAATCTGGGCAAAGATGATGCGGCGGAGCGTGGTATTATAGTCAGAGCTCTTGAGGATGTACTTGCTAGTACGATACCTGCCAATTCATGTGAAATGAAGAAATGAGTATATGGGGCACCTTTTCATGTGTTGTTATATTTTAGTTTGTGATTGTGCGACGGTAGCATGAGGAAACCGGTGTTTTTAATTCAATTGAAGAAGTACTGCAATGGCGTGGCCCCTCCCTGGATGGGACCACTGTGTATCATTTGATTGTCTGCAATGAAAATGACTCTTTTAATTGATTATTATAACTAAAAAAGGCGATTTTTCCCGCTCTTACTTTATTATCAAACAATTTCTGTGTGAAGATATTCATGCTAGTTTTAAGATGGATGTTTTCTGTTTTAGATTCTCACTTCATGTTGCTGCTCCAGTTGTATATGGAATCCATACAAGACTTGCTTGCACCAGAAAAGACTAGTATCCCTATTAATGAGGATGCAAGGACTGGGGAAGTATCATTGCCTGATGTCTCAGTAGTTAAGGTTCAAGATCTCAATCATTTTTCAGAACTGCTTCAAATTGGCGAGGCAAACCGTCATGCTGCTAATACAAAGCACAATACTGAATCTTCCCGAAGTCATGCAATTCTAATGGTGAGTATTTTGTTGGACACGAGATTTTCTTGTTCATATAATTTCAAGTTTGCAGAGGATTCATGGTGTTTCTTGACCAGTAGTGATAATCTGAATTTTTAGCATCCGAACCTTTTTGGTCTTACAGGTTCATGCACGGAGATCCATAAATCAAAAGGCAGGAGATGAAATCGGTTCTCAAGAGAAAGATGTGAAGTAATATAGTTGGGTTACCTAGAGTACGGAAAAGCAAGTTGCTGATTGTGGATCTTGTTGGATCTGAAAGATTAGACAAATCTGGTATGTGGGTGATATTATACAAGCCAGAGCTGATATCTGTACTTCTGTTTTGTTTGGCAGGGCCTTCAAAG